CACAGGATAGCACACACCTTTCCAGCTGCATCCACAACTTGTTGGACATGTCACAAAGAGAGAGGTCCACTCTTGCATTGGTTTTGGTCCTATACGGTACTTCACCCATTTTGGGAAAGTATTCAGTCTTAGACAGAAACATGCACAACATTCACATTACGTACTAAACCAGAGATCTTTCTCCTGTGCCTATTCCTGCAAGAGGAGGAAGGGGTTCAATTTAACCTAATACTCCATATTTTAGGGGTGGCAAAATCTTGGGTAGTGCAGGGGTGGAAGTTAGTGGTAGCACCCACAATGTCCCAGGTAAAACTTAAATTACAACAAACACACATGCATGAACAGATGTCATATGGAATGGCAGGAAACCTCAACAAGATTGATGCAATATGGTAGAGATGGGAGTTGATAAAATTGTCCGATTACCATGGGGAAAGGAGGGGGGGTGGAGGGGAGAACGAGAAGACACTGTTTAGCTGCAGCACCTGGCAGAGTACATCGATATATATTACATGATCTGGGGTGGGGGGACTCCAGGGGAGATAAGACTGAAAAAAAAGAACTTTGCTGTAAACGTAAATGTGTTGCCTAAATACTTACTGTATTGTAGTAACGGTTATTTACTGTATTTTCCTTACTGTTTATACTACTGCGCATTTGTGTAGTATGTTTGTATTGTTCCTCAGAAATGTGTATTATTGTAGAATTGACAACTGATGCTGCTATGCTGTGAATGTTTTCTGAGAACTAAAAAAAAAAAAAAAAAGTTGAATTAAAGGATGCTATTGATATATTAATATAATGAAATTTGCATAAATTTTTTGTTTATATATATATATATATATATATATATTTGATTGATTATGTAGATAATGGACCACATGATCCATTAAAGTGAAATTATGTAACAATTTCAGCTGCTAAAACACAATGTCTCTCAATGGAGGCATTTCTCTTTGTGCAAACTTAAACTTTTTAATGGGAAACAATGCGCCACCTCTTGTGTATTGCACAAGTATTGATAGTTGTTTTGGGGTTTTTTTTGCACAAATATTTTTATTGGAATTTTCCAAAATGTACAGTATAAACATTAACAACATTTTCTTAAATCAGAATGTACATACATATTAGCTTAAATGTCTAAACTAAAATCAGATAAGATAAGAAATTAGAATAAAAAATTCAATTAACACACAAAGAAAAAAAAGAAAAATTAAATTACATTTTGAATTTTAAATGTGCATGTGTTGATAGCTTTTAAATTTAGCTCTTCCACTGCTTTTACCTCATTTCAATCTAGGCACATTATACTGTGGTGTTACCATCCTCGTGAAGTTTAAATTTCCCCATCTGCCACAATGGCAGATAAAAAACCATGACGTTATTGGCATCCACTGCTAGCTATATAGGTGGGGTCTGAGGAGAAGAAAATTATAAGAATAGGAAGGCTTGGGCCTCCCTTGCTTGCCTCTTGTTGTATGACTTACAGGAATTGAACAAGGGTGAGTGCAGGAAATGTTCCAGTGGTAGCAAAGCTATAATCAGAGGAAAAGCAAATTCAGAGGGAGCACTTGCCTCTTCCTGCCCTCTGCTGCAGTGGCCCATGACGCAGAGGTCAACCAAACTGGAAGGCTCTCAAATACAGCTGAATGTGTAGTGGATTCTTTTACAGAACCTTAGTAAGGAATAAGGACACACTGTTCTTTCCAATAAAAAAAAGTTTATTACCCACAAGTGTTGTTCCTTCTGCCTCATTGCCCTAGGTCAGATGTTACTAAAATTAAACTAGGGGTTACTGAGTCACCCCCAAACGGCTGACTCCAACAAACAGCTTTGAAGGAAGTTAGTAGTGATTTATTGATGTAAAACAGCGTTGCTATTACACTTTGGACAACAAGTTGGAAGACACACGGAAATCGGGAGCTAAATTAAAAACATTTTATGTGAAAAGGAATGCTGACAGAGATTGAATCTACACACTAGACCAGGGGTAGGCAACCTACGGCACTAGTGCCATGCACGGCACTCGAGGTGTCTTTACACGGCACTCAAGGCTGCTTGAGCCAAACAGGCTCTGGCCTATCAGGAGTCCCAGTAAAACTTCAAATATCTGCTAATACGAAAAGATGGTGAAGGACAATCCTCAATTTAAGCATTGCAGCACGTAGAGGAAATGTTCTCAGATCACTTCCTCCAAGCACTTGTGAATGGGAATCCACAACGTAGTAGAGCAGCCTGCAGCTGCTGTTGCAGCTCATGTCTTTGACCTGTACCGGGCCAGCCTGATTCCCACTGGAACCCAGGGAAGCCACCCACACTGCTAGATATACACAGATATTGTGGATCAAACCAAGTGTTTATCTGAGTATCTGCTCCTTTCCAAATTGTTAAAATAAATGTGTGCACGCTCTGAAGTAAATTACACTGAGACACAGGTATCAGGTTAATGAAAAACTTCGGAATGTTAAACTCAGGGGGCGGCAAGCCCCTTATAAAGGCAAAAATACATCATATGCAAAAATGTAGATAACAGAGAGAATGCATCTTTAATTGGTTAGGTGTTAAGTGTCTTATCTAATGCACATCCTACGAGGTGTGATGTCACCATCATCCCGGGATTTTAATTCGGATGTAGGCGCCATCTTGTTACACGAGGTAGTTAGTCGTGGGAGGGGGTGCTCTAGCAGCCATTTTGAGTAGATATTGAATACAGGTATACACAGTAAATAGACATTTTACTATCACTAATTTACATTCATAACACAGAAATGAAGAATAACCTTCCCCTTATACAAATTATACGAACAGCCCACACACAAACATACACACAATCTGCACAAACATAACCCACTAACAATCCACATACATGCACACAACCCCACATGCAGCCTCTCACATACAATACCCCAAACAGCCCACACACACTACCAAACACACAATGTGACATATCCATCCACACACAATTCCACAAGCAGCCCTCATACACAGCCCACATTCATATGTATCATACACGATACCATAAACTACTAATGAACATATACAATATAATAGCTTATATACGCACAAATACAACGATGCAAAGCAACTGCAGTAAAAATGACACAAGCAGAATACGGCAACATACACACCTCATTTTAAAAAAATAGGACCGGCATCACAATCCTATATCGGCACAGTGCTGCTAAAATGTTGCCTACCCCTGCACTAGACTAAGGAAAGTTCAATAGTTTAATAGAAAAAGGAGATCACATTAATAAAAAGATTCTCACAAGTTATAGATGATTTTCAATGTATTATTTAATTGTACAATATCCAGAGATGTGATGGTTCCCCTTTAACAGAGAAAAAAAAGAAAGCAAATTAATGGTCAGATAGGATAAAATTAGCAGGTAAACTTGATAATATATCGGTAGATGGACAGGAAACATGGGTGATGTATTATAAGAGCCGTGGCAGTGGCACTTATTTACATATTCCACTGATGATTCAAATTTCTTTGATTTGTGTATTCCACGGTGGATTTAGATTACATTAACAGAATATATAGGTAATATAACAACATAATGAACCAGTTCGACCAATAGGTGGCACTGCAGACAAATATGTAACACAAGGGAGAGGAATACACTATATGGACAAGAGTATTGGGACACGTGACCATTACACCAATAGAGACTTTTATGACATCACATTTCAATACATAGACATTAATATGTAGGTGGTCCCCCCAGCTGTAACAGCGTCCACTCTTGTGGGAAGGCTTTCCATAAGATTTTGAAGTGTTTCTCTGGGAATTATTGCTCATTCATCCTGCAGAGCATTTTTCAAGCACTCATGTTTTATAAGAAGTCACTCCACAGTACGTTTCCACTGCTTCAGAGTCCAGTGGTGGAGTGATTTCCACTACTCGATCCAACGCTTGGCATTGTACTTGGTGCTGTGAGGCTTGCATGCAGTTACTCGGCCATGGAAACCGATTTCATGAAGCTCCTGCCACATGGAATATATAGCAAGGATGACATTTCACTAACTGTTTTATTGCAAAGGTGGCATCATATCACAGCACCACAGTTGAATTCACTGTGATCTTTAGAACGACCCATTTTTCACAAATGTTTGTAAATGCAGTATGCATGGCTAGGTGCTTGATTTTTTTACACCAGTGGAAGTGGCTCCGATTGAAACATCTGAATTCAATAATCAAGAGGTGTATCCCAATACTTTTTTTTTTTTTAATTCTTTATTTTTGCGTTGTGCGTGCTTTTATAACCATGTTTGTTCTGCCACAACAGCAGGAGTCAGATTATTCAAGCAGTTCAAGTAATATAACATTATGGCATTTGAGGTTCGTGCACAGTTTTTTAGTTATGGTGTAAGACAATAGGTGGAGATGTGTATGTTAGCAGGAGTATTTTATAGGTGTACCAATATTATTTTCCAGGATTGCCAGGTATGGCATTACAGGTGTTCGTGTGATATTGTGCAAGAGAATCAAGTTTTTGTGATGATCAGGAGAGCTAAATAGTAGTCGTGTTCGGGTGTATTGTGACTCCGGGCTTATAGTGGTTCAGGGTAGTGGGTGACCCTGGTCGCTGTTGAGATAGAACATGGTAGGGTTATGCAGGATGCCTTATTTGGGCGGGTCATGTGTTGAGATGTCTCGGTCAGGCTGTAAGTAATCACGTGTCCGGTCTTTAGTGGACTGGGCACCCGTGTGTCTAATGGTTAGGCTTTCCCGGAGTGTGGTGTGCCCCTGACCTAAGGGGTAGCGGGGGAGGGGGTGGAAGGGGAACTGCGGGGTTCCTGCCTCTCTGACCGGTGTGTGGAGCCGTCAGTGTGTATCGGTCATCCAGGAGTCAGCGTTTCCATGTAGGTTGTCGAGTGTATGAAGCACAGTAACATATGTTCAACAAGAAAATAGCAAAACAGTAGCTATAAACATAAGAAAAATTCTTAAAAGGAAACTCTCTAAAAGAAAATAAGTCATTTGTGATTTGAGCAGTCATTTGCGCTGCTCTTCTTCAGGATACATGTGTGGTTTCTGAGCGTTCTCTCTGGTCTTTGTTAGTCAGGTGGCCTGGTCTGCTGGTTTCATGTTTCGCAGGGTGAATGGTACTGTGTTGTCCAGGTCCCATCTCTGTGCAGGGGTCTCTGCATTGTTGTTTCTTTCCGGTAGGCCCAGCTTGGTGAGTACTGCAGGCACTTCATTGGGCGCTCAGACCCTATACGTGGTCCCCTTATGGGTGATTAGCAGGGATCTAGGTGCGCCCCAGCGGTATGGCACCCCTGTGGCACGCAGTTGGCTTGTGAGGTGGGTCAGTGTTTTGATGTCTTGTACCCAATTGTGGAGGTCCTGTTTAGTGGCCAGTGTGTTGTCAGGCGGTGCCTGCGGTGGAGTCAGGGTGTACTCACTGTCAGCCTTCGTTTGTACAGGTGTGTGGGATACAGTGCGGGACGTTGTCGGGGTTTGTTGAGCCTCCGCGGCCATCTTGGATCGTGCCTGTCTCTGCAATAAGGCCCCGATGTCGGCTTGCTCCACTGGATGGCCAGACTGTGTTTTTTGTGTACGTCTCCCCATATTTGTTGGGGTAGTGTTGTGGGTTGTCAGTGGGGCGCTTGTTGGTTCAGGCTCACCTCGGCTATACACTCCGTCCAGGAAGTACTCGAGCCTGGAGATGGTCGGCGAGCGATAGGCCTTAAGCCTCTGTTTCACCTTGCCAGTTCTCTGAGGTTGAAAGAAAGGCATCAATGTGTGCGCACCGCCGCCCCGATGCCGGTTTCAAGGTAAGTTTGGCACTCGGTCGGTCCCTTGTCAAGATGTTTGCGATGTTTGGCGACCGCTCCGTTTCAGGTTCAGGCTCCGTCGTATCCCAATACTTTTGTACATACAGTGTATATACTTCTCTTAAATGCTGTTTAATCCTTTTTAGTTGTAAGAAGGGAAATGTTTACTCATTGTTTAACTTCTGTGCATGTTGCAACACAGGAAATTAAAAAATGATTTTCAAAGCTACACATTTAAATTATTTGTTGATGATATAGTGAAATGTGTGAAGCCAGCTGCTAAACACTCATAGACATATAAAATATTAAATATACATATTTTCATAAATAGAAGTAAACATAGTGGTCCTGCACACTCTCATCTTTCATAGCTATAACTTAGATCATGAGTCTATTGGAAGATTCAGAAGTGCAAATCAAAGATAAAAGGGCATTAACACAAATCACTGTTTTACTGACCCGGCTCGTCAACAAAAAAATTGTATAATTCTGTAAGTAATCATATCACACAAACCCAAGCGAGCCTCCAAATTAACAAGGCCAGTCATCCAACACAAACATAGTCAATCGTGGGAAACCACTAATTCATACTGTTACTGCAGAAAGAGGCCAGCACTCCAAACATAACTGCTACAGTAGCAGAAATACAAGAAAAGTTAGCTAACTAATTTTCATACTTTGGTAATCCTTTGTTTGGGTGTGTGCTGAATAAAAGCAATGCTGTATGATGCATTTTCTTTCTTTTTTTATTCCTTCCTATTTTTTTATTGCTTCCTATTTCCTTTCCTACTTTCTCATCTTTTTTTTCTCTATAGTTCCCAAGACTCAGGCGCGTTCCACTATTCTATAATGTATATGAAACATTTGAGGGGCCATTTTCTTCCACAAATTATATGGTGTTAGACTTTATATTGAGATGTGTGTTTTTTTATATATGGAGTCAACACTCTGCCTGTTTGTACCTATACTTATTCTGTTATACAATGCTATTCATCACCATAAACAATTTTTTTTTAAGAAGTTCTCAATTAAAGAGACATCTAAACAACTTTACTGGAATAAATTAAAGGGGATAAACAAACTGTTTAACCACAAAATCTTCAAACTGCCACCCAATCACACTGCCACTAAAATTCTGCTCCATGTCCGAGGCTTCAATCAGAAAATCGCAAATCCTGACATTGTTATCGTTTCAATTCTCTCATCAATGGGTAGCTACTCATAGTCAGAGAGCAAGAGATAAAGCTCTCAGTCTATCAGCAGGGCCCAATCCAAGATTTCCTGAATGAATCCTAGGACATGGAGCAGACATTCAGGGCTAGACCCTTTAGAAAACCTGGGACCTCCGAGCACCATTACAACTTCATTCCGATTAAGTTATTATGGTGCCTGACTGGAGTGGTCCTTTAAGCTGTTGACTTTGTCAGTATCTACCACTCATTCAATGCATGTCCGTACTGTATAATTACATCATATTGTTCCTTAAATTCATGTTTTCTTGTTACCTTTGCATCTTTATGCTTCATTAGATCTATATAAAACTTGCAGAGTTATGTTCTAAAGAGGTTTTCAAAATATGCTCAAAGTGAATTTCGAATTTAAAGTCAGAGTAGCCATACTGGAAGCAAAGCTGAGTTTAGCTATTTTGGCCTTTGAAATTTACTTTGCATCAACTTTAAATTTATGATAATTCCTACTTCATAAATAACTCTGTGAATCAGACAAATATTATAGACAAAATAGCCAGATTTGCAAACTTCTCGAAACCAACTATATTTCCAACTTTTGAGCTAAAACTCCATTGTTAATTCTTGTCAGTTTCCAAAAGCACAACAGATTTACTAGGCATTCTACACCAGGGGTGCCCAAAAGGGAGATCCCCAGATATAAAGGCAAGCAAAGCATCATGGGAGTTGTAGGTTTACAACATTTGGGGATCTACCTTTTGACCACCCCTGTTCTACATCTTGTATTTACAGCCGTCACTACCTCTGCTGCAATCCTCATTTCATGAGAGGTGTCTTTTAAATCCAAAGTAAAACGTACCTGAATTAAATTCCACCCATTAAATAAAATGTTTTCTAATTACCTGTGATAAGATGATAGAAGCCATTGAACCTGTGCCATTGAACCTTTTGCTAATTGGAAAATGTGACTGCTGCGTTAACAGCGCCAATGAAATTGAAAACTCATAACAACTATTTATTAGGGTGTCGTAAAAAGAGCCATTTACTTTCCTGGATACATTTTGAGATGAGGAGAAACGGTTTATAGTACGCTGTCTAGCGGAGCTGTATATAATTCATTCCATGATTTGCTTTTCTTTGTTTTTACCAAAAATCTTTTTAAACTTTGCAAGGTAAACTGGGGATAGAGGAGCTTGGCTTTACATTACTGTAAATTGGCTCAGTTAATGGACCAATAGGCAGACATTAGGCAATAAATCTACTTATCTTTACAATGAGTCAGTTACCCAGAGACAAGCGTATTGAAGTTGTTGTGAAGCAATAGGCTGCCTGCTGTCATCTCACACAGGTCAATGAAACAAGGTTCATATTCTGTATGTACTCAACTTTATTATGAAGAAAAGGTGTTACTGGGAAAACAAATCATTTTTTATTTATTTATTGGTTTGTCATCCCGTACTGAAATCCTTATGTGTTTACTTTTATTTATATATGTACAAGTAGTTGTTGGTGGTAGTAGTGGTGGTAAGAGAGTAGTGGTAGAGCTGAGTGTTTTATATAGAGAAGATGCTCATATAATAAAACAAGCTGGGCACAACATGAGGATATCTATACAATATGATAAACTTAGTACAATACGGAGATAGGCATACCAAATACACCTGGGCACAATACAAAGATATCTATAAAATAAACAGAACTGGATAGACTACAGAAATAACCATACAACAGGTGGAGTTGAGTAAAGTACGGAGAAATAACACGAGCTGGGCACCATAAGCTGGGCCCAATAAGGAGATAACATATTACAGAGTGATCCTACACAGCCAGGATCACTGCATTGGATTACACAGAGCTGCAATACAGAGATCTCCACACAGTACATGTCTCTGTAAAATGCTTTAGCTCTCCTTCTCAGCTCTCCATTACATTATCTAATCTTCAGTAGTGCTTCTGCAATTTTGCAAGTTTGCTGCTGTTACGAAACATGTCAGCTACTCCATTAGCTCTCAGCACACAGTGTGCACATGGTTAAAGCGTCAAGATACTGATAGACGCCAACTATGTCAGATACTCCTGACTCACTATTAGCTCTTATTACACTGTGTACACGTGGTTAAAGCAGCAGGATATTAATGGACTCCTTATTACCTGCGCAGCTGGCAATATACTTGCAGACCTGAAACCTATTATAGAATTAAAGCAACATAATTTTTTACCATATTATTTTGGCACTTCAGCCCCCCCACTTCCCCCCCTGAAAAAGAGAATCTTAGTGTTTCTAAACTACTGCAAATAATTATATCCCCACTTAAAAACTGGTGGTTTCAATCTGTAAAGATGATAAATTCTGTAAACCATGTCAGCTACTTCTTGGCTCTATCTTACCACTACAGATTAATTATATTGCCGCTATGGATACGCATCCATTGAATCAGTGCAGTTGCAAACTGCGAAAAGGAAGATACTAAGGTAACGGTTACAAGTAATGGTTACATGGATAATAGTTTAAGAGCACATTAGATGCACACAGACCAATCAATGCTTAAGCAAGTTGATACGCTCCAGTAAAGTAACTGCAAACTAATCATCTCATGGAGCCATGTGTATGATTACAGGTACAACTATATAGAAAATAAATGTTGGCAGTCAAGATTCCAAGGATTGTTGCTATGGACTGTGACTCCTATGGTGCTTAGACTTTAGACAGTATCTGGTTGGCTGGGCAACCTGGGAGTGTTAGACTAGTGTATCTGGAATGCAGAAACCTGTGAGTAAGTAAAGGTTAAATTCTATTTTTTTTATTTTTATTTTTTTTTATGACCTAATGGAATTAATTATTGTAAAATAATGGTGCCCATTTTGTATGAAATCATCTGCACACATCAGTACCATTTTATAGAATAAGTTGTAACAATACTTGAAGGAAGTAGAAGTCAGTTGCATGATGGGAAATGTTATGGTCTAAACCAGGGGTTCTCAATCAGGAAGTAGAAGTCAGTTGCATGATGGGAAATTTTATGTTCTAAACCAGGGGTCCTCAAACTGTGGCCCTCCAGATGTTGCTGAACTACAACTTCCATGATTCTTTGAATTACATAGATACTCAGAGAATCATGCGAGTTGTAGTTCAGCAACATCTATAGGGCCAGAGTTTGAGGACCCCTGTTCTAAACACATGTAAAAGAAATTGAAACACCAGATGGAATGTTAATTACTTATATCCTGGGTGCCACCAATATGTTATAGAGAATGACAAGGATACAACTAAAAAGGATGAGACCATTGCTCATTGAACTGCCAAAGTGTGATTAAAATTGGTAATGCCTAAGTGCCAATAACTCTTTCTATGATGTTTTATTGGAAAACCTGTTCTGCAAGAGTTTATTTCTCAAACCCAGTCACTTATTAGTTTTGTACTTTGTTACAGCTTGACCTCTGTCTGTAAAACAACGCCTTGCATTTTTACAGAACTTTCAATTAAGCCTTTAATTTGTTACCATGCCATGAACTATAATAATATCCTGTCGTATAAACTAAAATACTTTTATTACACTATGTTACTTAACATGATTTATTTTATCAACGCATATTAAATAATGGTGGATGAAGTGTATTATTACTGTACACACAGTTTTTATTTGGATGACTTTGATCAAAATCATTAAAAGATAGAATCAGTTGTAATAATTCTCGTTGTCTAAAGACATATCCCAGGAGCATTAATAGCTCCCCCCCCCCCATTATTCTACACATCAATGCTCTGAATCTAATTTAAGTAAAACATTTTTTTTTAATTGTAACTTTTTTTTTGGGTGGACCCCCATATACCCATGAGGTCCCTCACCTCAGTTACCTCTTTGCGCTTGGTAGGCCGATCCTCAGCCTCCGCAGATTGGGAGATGGGGTACCCACTTACGGCTGTGCCTCCACCCAGCTGGGCAAAGAATTCTGTATTGCACAGCAGAATTGAACACAACATGTGACACACACCAATAGAATACAATAAAACTAAAACAGAGTCTTAATGGAGTACCTCACATATATTCCCACCCACAGTAATACTGTGCCCCCCCATTCCTTAGGCCTTCACCCTAGTGGCTGTTGGGTACCAGCGGTCGGTGCACGTAGTTGGGGCCCAGTAAGCTGTTTGTAATCCACCTGATAGGTCTAGAAAACTGTACAGGGCTTCCACTAATCAGTAAGAATAGGGATCCAGTCTCTAAACTGCTTCATGTCTGGCCAATATTTTGTAATCTGGGTTTCTGTTCACCACATATGTTTAGTGAGTTAAAGGGACACTGTAGGAACTGTAACTGCTTCATATAAGTCAAGTGGTTATAGTTGCTGGAATCCTCTGGGGCGCCCTTCTGTTTAGCGTCAAAGTGTTTTTAGTGTGTAATGCAAAAACGAGAGTCTCCAGCAACCAATAACCTCTGTGCGGCTTGGGCTAAGGAGAACACGTTAGCCTGAGCAGCAATGGGTTTCAGCCTATTGAATCTGTTCTTTGCTGGTATAAAATGGGATGGCTGAGGAAGCCATACCTGCAATGGTGGCCAGGTTGTGGGTGGCTTGGGAACTTCATTCATTCAGAGTTAAAGTGATTGGAAATGGTTTAACATTGAATGGAGGGACAGTGCCAGGGAACTACAGACACTATAACCTATTCAATGTGGTGATAGTGTCTACAGTGTCCCTTTGTGTGTTTCAATAATGTTTAGTGCATATTTAGTGGAGGTTTGATAATAATGACATCTCATGAAGTCTCTCTATAATCTCTGCCATCACTCTGAGCAACTGACTTATACTGATCAATATATAATATTAATGTTTCACTGAGTGTTAACACACTGACATGATTAGACTTGACAAAAGCACCGTGTTCTAGGAATGGCTTCCTGAGGTGCACAGTGTTCTAAGAATGGCTTCCTGATGTGTTGTAACTGGATCTGCTGAGAATGTTCTTCACCTGTTAGGTAATGCCAGCATTGTTTGTTTTATAACCATATACTGTGTGACTTATTTATTTTATTCACCTGTCTCTTTCCTCCATGAAAACCTAACTGAATATTTTTAGCCCAGCCTCCATATTGAGCAAAACAAGTCATATAGTGTACAACAACACATACTTATTTAAAGTGATATTCATTTGAAAACGTCCAAATGTCAATTTACATGGTTAATTGCTAAAGTGAGAATTCAAACTAAATTCAAATTTGAGGCCAAAGTAGCTGACTAAGCCTTAAATTTCAAATTGAAATTCACTTCTAATTCTCACTTTAGTAATAACCCTGTTGAGGGGACGTCACACATCAGTTTATTTTCATATCATTATGCGTTATAGCCAACTCTTTTAATTTAAGTTGTTTTTTTTGGCCTTTTCAAATGGTATCAATATTTATCATTAATATTTTATTATATTATTATTTGAAGTTTTATGAGCTATGCTACCATTACATTTCTGTTTTTTAAATTTTTTATTATTATATTCAAAATAAAGAAAGTACAATATATTATTTAAACAATGTAGCAGCTGTTCATTTTTTTATTAATCAAGGAATTATATCTGACTTTGGTCGGGGTAGAGGAAAAACTAGGAATCAGTTGTAGGAGACATTGCACTGCTCTCCAAATGTAGCAATATTATTTTATAGTTTATTTGCTTGAGTGGCAATGCAATTTTTACACTTTTTAACCAGAAAACCAATTGTATCATCTATGGCAATGCTCCTCAACCCTCCAAAAAAGGAAAAACACCCTAGACACTCCCGAGTAATCCCTAAATCCTGGACTGTTTGGTGTGCCTTGAGGAAAGGGTTGAGGAGCACTGATCTATGGTATTGGTTTAGGATATGACATTGGATTTTCTATTTTTACCAACAGTTTTTTTTTCTTGCAGTGCCGAAACATACACAAATTAGTAAATCATATTTTAGCATTAAAATACATCTCCAGAAAAAAGTACATTGACACCATTGACTGTAAACACTGTAAGTATTATGTAACTCCTGCAAAACATTTCTTAAACGACTGATCCATATAATTGTCATACTACGGATATAGACAGAAATCAAACAATAGGGTTCTAAGATCTCTCATTTATCCTGCTATTCATGTCAATAAAGGTTACCTGAGCAGTATCTAAATAACCCAGGTTGTTAATTCCTCAGCCTTATATTGCTTAAATGCTAAATGAGAATGTTATCACCTTCTATCCATGCATTACAAAGCCTTGTTTATCTTGAGTCAAGTGGGGCAAATTCCGCTTGTTGCATGGCTAAAAGTGTAAATATTTAAGCACTGTCTAGGCTGTAAGTTCAGACAAAATAATTGCCTTTATTACAAACAAGAATACTATGCAGACATCATTGTTCCTGCTTACTGCTATAAAATGGCTAACCTCATGAAGAACTACATGCCTAGTGATTTTCTCTGTACAACTTTTTCATTTGAATCTAGTTTCTTACAATCGATGACTTGCTGTGTTTGTTGCTATCTGTTTTGTTTGTATTTACCAAAAATAAAAAAAAGACACGAGTAATAAAGTGGTTACCAAAAAGAAATAACTTTAAGAACTGTAAACCCCAACACGCAGTGTGTAACCCCACACCTAAAAAAGAATGTATTACCAAACCTTAGGATTGTCGGGCTTACAGTTGTACAGAAATAGAGTAGTCAGAAGATAGCAAAAAAAAACTGAGAATGTATATAGACAAAGGGACCACTATAGGGAACAATGAATAGAACCACAATAAGGCACAGTACAAGGCAAAAGATGCCCTACTTATATGGGTGTGGCTATTGCTTTAACACCACCCCACTCAAAACGTTTGAGGGTGATCAAAATGGCAAGAATCTGCATCATTGAAGTCATGACTTTGACAGGCACGCGTCACGTCATATAAAAAGGGACGTCTTCACAGCTTCTAGCGACGGTCATGCCGAGGACCTGAGAGAGCAGTCGGCTGCAAGGACCCTTCCATGTGGACACCTGGAAGAACGGCCAATCAGAGCTGAAGTAGGCTTATTTAAACGCCTTTTGCCTTTTCCTCATTGCCCTGTCGTGGTTTCCATAAGGTTGTCCGAGGGTGTGTTTCTGAGCGTTTACTTCTGGTTATTGACTTTGGCTTCGTTTGATTTCCCTGTATTCTGGTATCCCTGACTTCTGGCTTTCCCTAATCGTTGTGCCTAATTCTGTATCCCTGACCTCGGCAAGTATTCTGACTATGCTCTGGTACGTTAAGTCTGGCCATTCTAAGGCCTGGTAAGGCGTTACCTGTTAGTCCTAGGTGTGATACAGTTCTACATGCTGGATCAATACTTAATCCTGACAGGAGTAGAGTGCTAAGGTTGGATTTAGGTTTAGTGTTAATATTAGGGTTAGGACTACTGCGTCAGGATTAGAGTTAGGCTTAGTTTTGGGATTATTTTTACTAAGATTAAAAGTTGGGTATTATGCTAGGGTTGGAGTTGGGGTTAGTATTAGGGTAGGGCTATAGGTAGGGTTACCAAATACGTACAATACAAACACAATAGGTGGAGCAAGTTGTATACTTTCCTCTCTTTTCAATCAGTCCAGCAATGCTGCAAAGACAGAGAGGTATACAGTAGTGCAGATAACTAAAAACCATAAATGGAAATACTACATATATAAGGATGCACTCACAAGGGTAGAGCCATATATTTAACCTGGCTCTGGTGTGGATGACCTTGGGATCTTTTTAGGGTGATCCAAATCCCTCTGTGGGTGGTCTGGATACCTGGTCTGGATACCCGGAGTGTAGTAGTCTCCTCCCAGCAGTAAATAGCAGGAAATCCAAATGGGTGTAAAACAAAAATGTATTATATAAAATATACAGGTAAAATAAATGTAATTTAAGGGTCCAAAATATTGCCAAAACGTGTTTCGCCAAGCATGGCTTCTTCATTTGGCTTTGCTGATGTTCATATGGCCATGTAGTTCTTTATATGCTGTATGCATTTCAAATTCGCAGTCTTTTTCTTTGGTGAAATGCAGCCTGCGTTCCACTTCCTGGTTTCAAAACACCTGTTGCGTATGGTGCGTTCCAACCACGTCGGATCCGCACGTGACCGGATATGACGAAACCAGGAAGTGGAGCGCCGACGGACGAGTGGAACGCAGGCTGCATTCCACCAAAGAAAAAGACAGCAAATTTAAAATGCATACAGCATATAAAGAACTACATGGACATACGAACATCAGCAAAGCCAACCAGACATCCCAAGAATATTGCTGAACTGAAACAGTTCTGTAAAGAGGAATGGTCAAGAATTACTCCTGACCGTTGTGCACGTCTGATCTGCAACTACAGGAAACGTTTGGTTGAAGTTATTGCTGCCAAAGGAGGTTCAACCAGTTATTAATTCCAAGAGTTCACATACTTTTTCCACCTGCACTGTGAATGTTTACATGGTGTGTTCAAGAAAAACATGGCAACATTTCATTCTTTGTGTGCTATTAATTTAAGCAGACTGTGATTGTCTCTTGTTGTGACTTAGATGATGATCAGATCACATCTTATGACCAATTTGTGCAGAAATCCATATCATTCCAAAGGGTTCACATACTTTTTCTTGCAACTGTACGTAATACTTGCAGTGTTTACAGTTAATTGTGTCAATGTACGTTTTTCTTAAGATGTTGCATTTTATTGCCTTTGTAACGGCACGCCCAGGCATAAAGGTTTAAACCGCCGTTTAGTAGATCTTCCCTTCCAGATATACAGGCAGCTACCGAAGACACCAATCACCCGAACAGGAAACCATATGAATGCCGTAAATAGCTGAACCGGAACCATACGAATGCTGTAAACAGCCGAATAGGAAAAACCATACGAATAGGTTTACATTCCTAGCAGTCAAACTGGAACAGCATACAATAAATCCCCCCAAGAACGAGACAAGGCTCCGTTTTGAGGGTCAAGCAGGAACAGACAGAGCTGTGGGTTTATTGTTCTTATATACACACAAATTCTTACACATTAGTACCACCTACAGGAAAACAACCAATAAACACGTACAATACACTCAGACACTCCTACACAAAATCCTCCCCTCTGCCTGTGATACAATTACCTTACACAGTGGGTAATGTAATTATCACAGGCAGAGAAAGACAGTTTTTCCACATTATTCATAATTTTAAAAGTATGCATCACATTCACATAAAACGTACAGTTTCAGAATCAGCATACTCCAAATACAAACATACGTCAAAATCATACAAATTGGTGCAGTGGTTCAAAAGATAGATCGTAGTCCTTTGTGACCAAATGAAGCATGACTTTTCTGCCCAAAACCAGTTCCACAGAGTCTTCTATCCTGGAGATAATTGGGAAGTAATCCAATTATCTCCAAGGACAGAGGCAAAACTCCATTGAACACATGGCAGCAAAAGACAATAAAATACATAAAATATATAACTGTGCAGCCATTGCATAAAACAGGTACATTCAACATATCCCCAGATAGCTCAGATCTGAGCGCACATTATTACTGAATGGCACTCAGATCACACACATACAGTTCAATTGCCATGGAGCCAAAGTCTTTCATTATACGAATGGGCTCCATGGCATAGCTATGTGGGGTATCACAGCTCAAACAGGACAAGCACTGAATGACCCGGCTTTCGTGTCTTTGCAGGGGAAAATCAAGCCTTTCAACATGGGGCCATAGTCTAAAGGCAGCAGGCGAGCAACCAGGCTCCTCCAATGCACAGTGGCGAGATTGGTCTAGTCACAGCCTTAATGTGATTTACTAAGTGGTGTATGTTTTCGGCACTGTGTATCATAGTAGATATGATAGTAGTATATATAAAAACTTGTGTGCCTTTAATTATGCAACTTTTCATTGGCACTATATCTAAAATCAGCTTGCAAAAACTGCAGATCTCTTGTCTGCTGCCTTTCCAAGCCCTCCCCTTCTAACCCCGTCCCGACTTTCTGTGGCTGTCCAATCACAGACTTCCCAATGCAGCTCAATGAGAAGCCTTTGCAAGGCAGGTGCTCTGGGCAATTGCTGCCTCTTGAGTCCAGTGCAAATAAGCTAACCAATCCAGGAAATAACATGACTTGTTATCTGCTTGAAAAGCCAGGGGGATATCGATTTCCATTGAAATATGCACTTATTTCAAAATGAAAAAATAGGACACACTCTTCACACATAAATCTTTTCAGCAAGCTAAAGTGCTTTAGGGGTCCGGTGTGTCCCTTTAACATGCATCCTTCCTGCTCATTCACTTAGAGTATTCCCGGCTCTTTGGCAGATGCCAAATGGACCCACCAAGGGGTGGGCTATAAATATACAGCCCTATCATCTCTCCGTGCTAAATGGTGGTTCCTACTGTTGCTCCTGAAGTTGCTTTGTTTGGTTTTGTTGTTCTCTGGCCTCCTGACCAGCTTGTGTTTTGACCTTGCTTGCTCTGCCTGCCCTGACCTTGTTTTTGCTATATTGTACTGTCTCTTTCTCTGATAATCTGAGCTCATTGTATCCCCATTATTTTTGTCTGACCTCCGTGGAGGCTCTATTATTGTTAAGCCATGGATGCTCTATTATTGTTATGCTAAGAACTCTTAATGTGATCTCAGTCGTTTTCATCTTTGCTCTTTGGGATTCAAACTTTAGGTCTCTGGTTCACCTGACAAGATTAAATTAAACAGTTTATAAACTGTAGAAATGTGTTTTGTATTTGGCTGTCGAAATGTGTGGAACACGAAATGTATACATACAGACATATATCTCTTTACAAACACCTGCCATGGCCAGGTAAGCCATCACTTAGAATATAGTTCTAAGTGGCTTACATGGCCAATCCATTTATTAGGAATATTTCACAACAGCGAAACACAAACAGTTAACGTCATACTGTTACACCCTTTACACTGCTGAGCTGTAATTAGCCTTTGGTTTGATGAGTAAGTGCTTTGTCTGCCTCATATCAGTAATGAATAATGGGAAATGTATTAAATCTCCTATTATTTGTATGAATCAATTTATTAAATATACTAATAAAAAGCTTTTTCTAGATTTAAGTGATCGTCTATCTTAATATGAAGTCATGATTCATGTCTTTAAAAAAAATTGTGAAGTTTATGATGTGATATGCTCAGGGCGAGATTTACCCTTTTTGCAGCCCAAAGGTCAGTTTTCTGAAAGCACCCTTTTATATATATATATATATATATATATATATATATATATATATATATATATATATGCAAACATTTGGTTGGTGTATGTGATTGGATGGGTAAGTGAGTAGTTTAGGGTAAAATTAAATGATGAATGTGACTAGGTGGGTAGTTGGATGATAGGTTGGACAGAGCTGAGAAAAGGTGGGTGTGTATATATGTGGGAGATGCAGTTTGTGATTTTGTATGTTAGTGTCACGTATTCATCCGCACATAAAAATATGGTTAATGGCATTTACTATCATGACAGGAAAAGTTGTGCCGAGCAACATTACTGTCCGGACAGGAAAAGTTGTGCCGAGCAGCAATCATGCTCATGGAAACCTGGTAATTACTTTTAGGGTCAAAGGTCGGTCATGGCCAATCAAATCCACAGGAGGGTTTTGGGGGGACAGGGGCAGTAGCGTGTGAGTGTGGGAAGGAAATTGGTGATGTTGTTTGTGTTTGTGGTAAATTGAAGTTGCAGTGTATGTATGTAGGGTTTGGGACTGTTGTGTGTGTGTTGCAGTCAGGGACGGATCCAGAACCTAATCTCGGAAAGGGCAATGGTAGTGAACTGTAGTGGGGTGATAGGGTCTGTAATGGGGAAACAGCGGCTGTATTGAGGAGTTAGGGGCTGTAATAGGGGTTAGGATCTCCATTGGGGGACAGGGGCTGTAGTGGGGGGGATAGCGACTGTAGTAGGCGGGTTAGGTATTGCATTTGGGGGGTTAGGAAATGTAGTAGGGGGAAAGGGCTGTAGTGGAGGGATGGATGCAATTGGGGATATGGGCTGCAATTGGGGGAGAGGGGCTTTAGTGGGGAATAGCGACTGTAGTAAGGGAATATGGGCTGTAGTAGGGGAGTTAGGGACTGTAGTGGGGGAATAGGGCTGTAGTGGGGGGATAGGGAACTGCATTATGGGTTAAGGACTGTAGTGGGGGATAGAAGCTACATTTGGAGAGTAGGGGGTAGAAGCAGCAGTGAGGATAAGGGGCTGTAGTAGGGAGTAAGAGGCTTTAGTAGGGGAGGTTAGGGGCTGTAGAAAGGAGTAAGGTGCTGTAGTGGGGGAGGTTAGGGGCTCTAGTGGAGGCTAGGGGTGTATTAGGACATAGAAGCTGCAATTGGGGGGCTGAAGAAAAAAAACAATGTATTCCCTTCTGCCTGATGCTTACTTTAGGTCAGGGAGGGAGGAATCCTGTTCCCTGTTAGTCCGGTGGGAGATGTGCAGTTCCTTCCAGCAGCCGCCAGGGAAAGGCTCATAGTAAGGGGCGGGGACTTTGTGAGGGGGCGGAGACTAGTGCTGCCGATGCGCTTCTATCTACAAGTGGTGTAGTTGGAAGGGCAGCAGTGAAGCAGGGCCATCTGAAGAACTCTCATCATGCTGTACTATTTTCTCGTGGGGGGAAGGGGGCGACGACAATTGCTCTGTTGCCTCCCCTTTGGATCTGCCACTGGTTGGGGTAGAGTAATTGTTGTGTGTATTGGGTGGGAGATAGCAGCTGTTTGTGATTAAGGGTGAAGAGGAATAGGGGCTATGGAAGGGACGAAACTTTCAAATTAAAGGGCTCATACAGGCTTACAAGGAAACACAGAAAAACACTCACAAATGCACACAAACTTTTAAAGTGACACAGACCTAATAAATACCAATTTAATAAGCAGCTACACGTTTTTAACAAGCTCAATGCAATATGTGACTTTTAACTGCCAAAATAAAAAGATGAAAAACCTAGACGTGTAAGGTATTTCTCTAAGCCTTTGACAATTTTTTATTTCTTTCCATTCTTATGAATTTGATGGCAGTGGTCTCTTTCAGTAGGATAATGCACCCTGCCACACTGCAAAAAAAAAAAAAAGAATGGTTTGAGGAACATGACAAAAACTTCAAGGTGTTATCTTGGCCTCCAAATTCCCCAACTCTCAATGTGGTTAAGCATTTGAGGGATGTGCTGGAATAACAGACCCCACCTCTCAACTTGCAGGACTTAAACCACAGGACACATTCAGAGGTCTTGTGGAGTCCATGCTTTGATGCATCAGAGCTGTTTTTGCAGCGAGGGGGACCTATACGATATTAGGCAGGTGGTTTTAATGTTGTGGCTAATCAGTGCGTATCTCTCGTTGGTTGTAAGTTTGTTTGACCAAAGCATTCTTCACATTTTGTCAATATTCTTGGGATATTTGTGCATTTGATTTTTTAATTATTATATGTTCACTTTCACAATTTGAGCCCTTGTTCTCACAATATGTTTCCCATATAGAATCCAGTGGTTTAGTGGGTGGTTTGTTGAAGCAGAATATAGGACGGTAGTAGGTTGTGGCATTACTTTAACAATTGAGGTACTCAGTCATTAGGTTTCTTTTGCTTAGAATTAGGAGTCCGCTATTTTTCACTCTGATAGAGATTACCTTTACAAGGAAGGTGGGCTTGCTGGGGGCTACACTATGTTACATCCAATATGGATGGGGGAACTATATTATCCTTATAAAGTATCTTTAGATATGATTATTTTGGATATTTGTTTCATGATTCTAATGCTGACTGTCCCATTCCTCTTGGCTGAGGGTCATAGGAGTTATTTTTACTGTTTTTCTGGTATCTTTGCACCTGCCCTTTAGTGACTCAGATAAAGGTGGGGAGTTATCCCCCGTTTTAATGTTATTATTTTATCTTTTTTTTTTTTTTTTGCAGACTTCACATTTACTCAATATTATTGATTTGCTTGAAATAGAGAAGCAGGATATGAGTCATTTGATTGACTTCTCTACATACTGATAGTTATTCGGTTCCCCACCCAGAACCTCCTAATGTCTTATCAAGTAAGTAGTGCTATCGAAATTACATAGCTGCGTGAAGTCAAGCTTTTCTAATCACTATACAGAGCAGGATTATTAAAGGAGCACTATAGGGTCAGGAACACAAACATGTAACCACCATCTAGCCCCCCTGGTCCCCTCATGCCTCCTTAAAAATAGTAAAAGTCTGCAGCTGCTTAATGGTCCCTGTTTCCTTTAGACCTGCCCACTGCCTGCTGACAGCAGAAGTGGTAGCCTGATCCAATCACAATGCTTCCCCATAGGATTGGCTGAGACTGACAAAGAGGCAGATCAGGGGCAGAGCCAGCATGATTCAAACACAGCCCAGGCCAATCAGCATCTCCTCATAGAGATGAATGGAATCAATGAATCTCTATTTGGAAAGTTCAGTGTCTGCATGTAGAGGGAGGAGACACTGAATGTTTGGATGCATTTTAGGCAGTCATGACCCAGGAAGGATCTCTAACAGCCATCTAAAGAGTGGTCAGTGAAGTTATCACTAGGCTGTAATGTAAACACTGCATTTTCTCTGAAAAAAAGCCTGAAGGTAATGATTCTACTCACCAGAAGAAATTCAATAAGCTGTAATTGTTCTAGTGACTATAGTGTCCCTTTAACTACAGGATAGGAAAGTCACTAGACTGATCTTTTATACAGTTTATTACCATTCCTGCACATTACAGTTTAATAGGATAGTGTATCAATGTAATGTGGGTATGGATAAATGAGTGTACGTTGTTGCTGTTACAGTTGATTACTTTTGCTACTTCAGACATGCTACCTTTAGTCATGTATATGTTCAGTCCTTTAGGTACACTGAAGTTTTACTGTGGGAGTTTCTTTTCCAGATAGGGGATAGCTCACCCAATGTCTGTGTTACCATCACATCCACGACTACCATCATCACCACCAATGTTCACATCACCTGAACCATGAGCTTCTCGATTGAAATTCATCAACCAAACGCTAGAGTACAGGCTAGCCAACTCTTGAGACAGAAGCAAGTGAAAAGAGAGCTTCCCACACAATGTCTACGACAGGATGCTTCTAGTAGAACTTCACTTTAGAGATGGTGGAAACAATGCAGGAACAGCTCCCTGGTCCATTTTCCCACTGCACCAATGAGGTTGACTCTGAAATGATGCATGAAAATTGAATAATAACCTTTAATAACCTTATTAAAAATAATATAAATAAAAGTAATAATAATTAAATGAAATCACTCATGCTGTTACTACTTTCCCATTTTTTTCAAACGCCTTTCAATGTTGATACATTTACCACGACGTCTACTGTTTTTCTTTCAGGCTCTGATGGTGGGGGTCCCAAGCGCTAAGTTGGATAGAATCGAGTCGGATATAGATATATTCACATGGGGTGGCAAATGCCATAGGAGTGCCATTAAAGTATTATACCGCCCTAGATTGCCTGGGGGACTGGGTGTTCAACACCTTTACATGTTCTATGTAGCTGCCGATTTGCAGCCAATTGTCTCTGGCATGCCCCTTCGGGAGAAAGGTGCTGGGTGGACCTTGAATTGGGGTTTACGGGAGCAGATTTACCCCCGTTTTTCCTCGGTCTAAACAAACCACATAAGGTGCCATTCAGGACAGAATGCCCAGCCATATTACATTCTATAAATCTATGGGTTCGGGTAAGGCTGAAATAAGTGTTAGCAAGTTGCCCTTCTCCAATGGCCCCGAAACTAAAGGAAGTTTCTCCAGGGATGACGGCCAGGGACTTTGATAACTTGGAACAAGTAGGACTCATTTCATTATATACAGATTAGGGACTATGGTAGACAAAAGCACATATACTTAGCCTATGTATTTACTACTCATTGTCTTGATATAAAAGGTTTAAGTTTTTACTGCTCATTGGCATGATATACAAGGTTTGTTCATTAAATCTATTAATAGCATTCCCTTGCTAGAAAATCGTTCAGAACTCTTTTTACTAAATGTTTGCTGGTTGGGTAAATCTCCCTTATTGATTAGTGATGTCCAAGTGTCAACTGCTCCCCAGGCTGTTCTCTAATCACTTTTGACATCTAAATGCTCAAATGCATAGAATGTGGTTAGTAAAATTGCACTAAATAGTTTTTTTCACCCAGGTCACAAGTTGCCAGCCCTCCCCTGGCTGGAACCGTGTTACACGATGTTGCTGAGATCACATGATTCAGTCTCACATAGAAGATGGAGGTGCACCCTTTGAACCTAGTGGTCACATGACACTGAATAAGGCAGAATACCTGGAGGAAGGCACAGACTCATCAAATGGACCCTATAAATACTGTTTTTTGAGATGCCTGTTGGAGTGTTTTTATTCATCTCTGTTGTTTACTGATATTTGCTATTTCCCATTCAGTGAAGGGCTTTTCAAATTGTTGTTTTACTTTTTCTTTCTTTAGTCTATACTTGGTCGAGATGGCATAAGCGGCTATACCATGTAAGGGCAGAGAAGTCATAAGACGATTGTTTGATAAATGGGTACCATATGCCATTTTTCCCTCCAGGAAATGTGGGTCAACTGATTAGAGTTTAAACTTGTGATGCAGTAATGTTAATGGAAGACCTGTTCCTTTCCCTTTTTATATATAAACTTAAATGTTTTCAGCATCACTGCTTCCTTATACTCATCACTAATCCGCATGATTCATAATGAAAGGATCCTTTCTTTTATCTTGGGTTTTCCACTCCCTGTCACAGAATGTGAGACTATAATCACATATAAATGATGTGACATTAAAAGTTCTTAATATGAGAAAAATAAATATGAACTATATATAACTAGTAACAAGTTCTAGGCAGAATAGATACTTGCCCTGTGTACTGTACTGGACACCTATTCTCAGCACTTATAATGTACCTTTGTGAGCTTAAATGGGCTAGTGGGGAGAGAAAAGTACCAGGAGCCTTGGCCATAGTCCTTTCTGGTCCAGTCAGGCTCCTGTGTTTGATTGCAGAGCAGTAAGAGATTATTATTATTATTATTATGATATTTATAGAGCGCCATCAAATTCCGCAGCGCTTTACAATGGGTGTCATAAAGCTCAAAGCTGCCCAGTATCTGTGTTTGAGGCTGGACAGGAAGTGGAAGGGATCACTACCCATCTGCTCACTTACAGCCTCTCACATGGGAAATGCCTTGCAGGAATAGCAGGGGAAGCACTCAGTGATGCACACTGTATAACAGCTCCTACAACTCGAACTGCAATCTTAGGAGGCTGACTTGACCGCAGAAGGCATGGGAGGGTGAGACTATGCACATAACAATTCAAACTTAAAATGCTTTAAACACCCCTTTTTCCTGAACTCTACACTTAAGTCTATCCAAAAGCAAAACATCCCTTTCCTAAGTCCAAAATGTAAGCACTAAAAAGCATGAACTTGAAAATAATCATTTACCTTAAAAATGTACTCTTTTTTCATTAATATTTTTGTAATTTTTTAAAATGTATTTATAATGCCTTATTGGGCATTAGTAACTAGGTTTCCCCTATGTAAAGCCATAATTAATAAGGTATAAACGTACATTTAATTCAGAACCGGGTGAAGTTCCCAGTGCTGGTTTCCACTCCCCTATTGACGTCTGCTGGGAGTTGTGTATATAAACAGGCCACTTGGCCATAATAGACCAGTTCATTTGTACCCTTCATCAAGTCTAGGCTGACGTTTGGGGTCGCTCAGAGTTATAATCACTGCTTCAGTTCGGGGACCTGGGAGACTTCAACGGATATACTCAGTCGGAATATAGGGGATCCGTTACAGGTATGTTCTGTAGTGTTCCTCTATATGTTTGCCTGACCTACAGGTATTTTATGCAAATTTGGATGGGATTGTGACCTTTCAAAAATGAATAGTAAGTGTTCAAATCCCAAATTTTTTATTTGAAGTGGTCATGGTTTTTGGAGTCTGTATGTGGAGTGTTTTGCTGTGAAATGCTGCACATACAGAGTTTAACCCTTTCTGTGGCTGGAGATGGAACTCCACGTCTAGCAGCATCATTGGAGCTTCATTAGCCAGCCATGAACAAGAGTTCAAGGAGACCAATGTGAATCCTGTGTACATTGGATGTCTGATATCAGCATGCACAACATTCTATTGACAGGTGTCCAATGGCGTCCCTACCTCTGTGCCACTCATATCATCCCCTCTGTCTGTCCTCTCTAACAGTGAGGTGTAGTGATGTCAAGAAAAGAAGGATTTAGCGGAGGTGAGAATTAGGCCTCAGTGGTAGAATGCAGGTAAGTTTAGCTTAATTTATTTATTTGTATTAATTTGGAGGGATGCCATAAGTCAGCTATGCTTCCATTTCAACTACATTGGCCTTAAATTTTAAATTCACGTTGGATTCACTTTTGAATTCTCACCATAGTAAATAACCCTGACATTCCTCTGTGAAAATGAATGTTATCAAAACGTGTATTGAAACATATATAATTAAGAATATTGTATAGAATTATGGCAGTTAAATTTGATACACTACACTAAAACACAGATGTGATAATATACTGAACATTGGGGTGATTTGCAAACCGAATTGCCAAATGTGTACTAAAAAAAAGTTACGTGTGAAAAAAAGCTGAATTGAAAATTATTTTCAAACACAACTGTATAAATCCAGTTTTGCCACACTTCACTTTTTAGTGAGCAAACTCTTATCAGAATTATTATATAAAGTGAGATTAATTCAAAGTGAATTTCAAATTTAGGGCAAACTTAGAGGATTGTTCCAATTCAGATATTTTGGCTCTAAATTGAAAATTAGTTTCTTGAATTCTGACGTTAGTAAATAATCCTGTTTTTTTTTTTTTTAACAAACAAGTTACTCCGTTTATAATAATGAACCAGCAATTAATACATTTAAATGCTCTCCATATTGAAAGTAACCAAAACACGCTGAGGTTAAAAGTGTGTCAGTGGTAAATATAGTTCCGTTACTACAAGAGAGGTAGAGGCTAAAGCTCATTGCTCAGAATAAAAGTGTTAAGATACAAACAAAGACATCAGTGTCTAAAATAAAACATTTCATCCCTCGCAGTTAGGCAATCAAACTGTGCTCTCTGTCTGTTTCCAGGAAGAGATGGGATAAAAGGAAGCAAATTGAGATTCCACAGTGATTAACGGCATAGACCGTGTACAGTGACATATGTAGCAGATGGCATTGGATTTGTAGTCCTGCTGAAATCAAATAAGCGAACTGGAAAATAATGATAATAGTATAGGACACCAAAGCTCTAATGAAACTACAATGTGGTATTACTATACTTTAAAGCTATTATATACATATAAACGAATCTTATTATAATGTATTATCTTTTTAGCATACTATTAATATTAAAGGAATAAGGCAACATAAGAACTTTAAATAAGTGATTAAAACCTATATAAAATAGTGGAGCGCTTAAAACATAATGGTACAATATTGCATACACCTATAACATATGGGTAAAACAGCGATATACACCAATTATATTTTTTTTAAAAACAGAAAAAAGAGACATATATAGTGCTGATGGTACTAGTTAAAATTATTGGTGGTAGATAAGATTTATAACCACTCACATGGAAAAGAGCCTGATGGTAGCTCATGTCGATGTGAGAGGTTCTTAATATGTAGTCCACAAAATCTGGGGTGTCGAAGGTGGCCTACCCTTATATGACTAGTGGAGTAGGATCAGAGGCGTAACTAGAAACTATGGGACCCCGGTGCGAAAATTGCTCTGGAGCACTCCCCATACATCTACTCCCCGCCACTCCTCCCATACGTCTACCTCCCCCTCCCATACGTTGCCCCCCCACACATGCATACAAACAGATACACATGCAGACCCACACAGAGAAATACACATACATACAGACACACACATACATACAGACACATACACACAAACACACACATACACAGACACATAGACAAACATACACACACATACATAGAGACACACATACATACACACATACGGACATAGAGACACATACAGACACACACAAACACACACACAGACATACATACAAACACACTTACATACAGACACACATACCTACACACACACACACATACATACAAACAAATACATTCATATACAAAATGTTTTAGTCACCCTCCTGTTTCTTACCTTTTAGCTGCAGGAGAGTGACTTCCCTGGGGTCCAGTGGCTCAGGCTGATGGGAGTCAGAGTTCCCACTCCCTCCTCTTTCTCCCGTGTGGCTCCTGGTGTAAGCTGGGAGGAGTGACCGAGGCAGTGACTTCCTCCCAGCCTCTGATGTCATCTCAGGGGGCCCGATAGCACTGTTAAAGTGCCACAGCGCTGACCAGGCCCCCTGGAAATGAACTTTCATCGGGTGGCCCCTTAAGTGCGGCCCCGGCGGTTCTACTGCTGCGACGCCTGCGACCAAGGTAGTTCTGCCACTGGGTAGGATCACCTTTTCCTGCCAGAGACAAGCAATATGTGGTTACACTGTTTTACTGATCAATGCACACAAAACTGGACCAGGCTGTGTACTACCAGCTATGGTACGACTGCATTTAATTTATTAAGCATGCCACTCATTCTCTGAGATATGAACTGCAGCTGGTGGATAAAGTAATTGTCCTATAAACCACAGCTGGACAGATGTTGTGGACATCTGTGGGATAAGAATGAGAGGCTCCTGTTTGGTGGAACAGCCTCTCTCTTAACTGTTTAGCTACAGAATTTGAAAAGAACACAACAAGCATCATAACCACATCAACCTTCTGTAGTGGCTATGGTACCAGAAGTTATCTGGCACCCATTTAGGATAAGTAGTTAAACTATTTGAGAACGGTTTGACAACTTATCTGAAGCCTGCTGGGTGCAGATTGCCTCTTAATGTGGAGTCGTTACCTGCATTGAGCTAAGCCTTGCCATGTAGGACTGCCTCGCTGGCTTAAAGCATCAGCTGATTGTCTTGATTGAGTCTTCAAATGGTTTAGCTACTTACCCCAACTGATACCATGGCCACTACACTGAGCTGTAGTGGTTATTGTGTGTGTAGTGCTCCTATAAAGGCAAATATATTTTTTATTTTAGTTTGTTCTTTAAATATTTGCCTATTTTTCACACATTATATGTAAAATATATTATATATTAATAAATAGGGCAGTATATTCTCTAGAAATGGCATGTGCCTTTGAAAAACACCACTTGCTTTAAACATCTTGGAGATGACTCCAGGTAGCACATCAACATCATGAAGACTGAAATCGTTTAGAAAAGGCCCATGTCATAGTCAGAGCCATTCTGTAAGATAAGGCAGGTAGCTCAGATTCATCCACTATAATTGTGCAAGCTCTGCCCTGGCACATTCTAATGGAGTGCCAATTTGTACTGCCTGTCACCCAATTAGAGTACAACCTGCACTTTTAATTTCTTTTTGCTTATTATCTAGTAGATAATAAGAAACACGATATCTATGTTCTTTATTGTATCTTGTATACACAAAGTAATCTCAAGAGTTGGTATTTTGAGCAATTTTTGAATTTTTCATTACAATAAATTTTCTTCATTATTTACAAATATGAGTTCACAGATTAATTGTGCTGCACACACTTAGATAATAGTAGAAAGATATGTGAAAGCTGGAGGTCAGGATCACAGAATCCCAAATTTCACCGAAATTGGTTCACAAGCAAAGGAGCACAATATGAGAGAAAGAGCAACAAAGTAGCTGAAGCTTTTAAAGAGGCACTCCACTGTCCAGCTACAGTGAAAAATATACATAGCAATCACTGCTTAGTTGATATACCCAAAATTAAAACATGCATTCATTTAATTATGCATGTTTTTTAATTGAAGTATATCTAAAAACTGTTTGCAAAAGCTGCAGATCTCTTGTCTGCAGCCTTTGCAAGCCCTCTACTTCTTCTTTAGCCTAGACATTCTGTGGCTGCCAATCACAGACTTCCCAATGAAGCTAAATAGGAAGTCTTTGCAAGGCAGAAGCTCTGGGCAATTACCTGTCTCTTGAGTTTAGCTCCACTGAGCTAAACAAATTTGGAAATAACAGGACTGGTTGTCTGCTTGAAAGTCATTGGGGTGTAACAAACCTAATTTATAAAAGTGCACATTTCTATTGACATCTGCCCCCCATGTGCCCTCTCTCCGCTGATCTTCATAGCCAGTGGAGAGATCAAAGATCTCCCTCATCGGTGTTCTATCAGATTCTGTTCCCACAGGACACAGTAATCTCCACATCTCCACATACACTGACAGACTGTGTCACAGAGAAACAGAGAAGGCAGAGATCCAGGTTGCAGACAAGCACATTCCCCCACCGGACTACCAGTAATAAGGATTCCCCCTCCCTGGCCAAAGGTAAGGCTCAAGGAGTGGGAAATAAATGCTTTAAAGCAATTCTCTACCCATGACAGCCTCTATTACCCCTTGAACCCAGTACTGCCCCTAATCCTACCCTGAACCCACTACAGCCTTTGTCCCTTCTGCACCCACTGCAGCTCATATGACTCCTCTGCACACATTAAAACACCTATTCCTCCCCTGCACCCACTGAAGCCACCTCTACCCAAGCACTCACTACAACCCAATTTAGCCCCTATAATCCCTGCACCCACTACAGCTCTTATGACCCCTGCACCTACTACAGCCACTGCACCCACTACAACCCCTATAATGCCCTGTAACCACTGCAGGCCCTATTCCCCTGCTCCCACTACAACCTTTATCCTTCCCATGCACCCACTAGAGCCCCTATTCCTCACCTGCACTCATTAAAGCAGTTAAACCCCCTTCCTCCACCCTGGTACCTATCACCCCATTGCACTTATTAAAGCATCTGTTAATTCCTGCACCCATTACAGCCCCTATTACCACCCCACCCATCCCCTATACATCCCCTGCACCCACAGTCCCTATCTATCCCCTCCACCCACTATAGCCTCTGCCCCCTTGCACCTTATGCAGCCCCTATGCATCCTCTATGCATCCCCCAAACTACAAAAGCCCCTAATAATCCATGCATCCACGAATGCCTCTATTACCCCTGCACCCACTACAACCCCTGTGCCCTCTGCAGCCACTACAGCCTCATTTACCCCCTTACCCCCACTCATGGCCAGATTAAGAGTCCAGTGGGCCTGGTGCTGACAATCATAATGGGCCGAATTACAAAATCTTAACGATCAAAAACACCAACAGTCATACCTTCCACAAGTCATGTATCTTGAGCTGGTGATGGAGGGAAACTCACAAGATATAGCCAGGGCCAGATTAAGAGCCCAGTGGGCTTGGTGCTGACAATTATGACGGGCCTAATAACAGAATCATATCAACCAAAAACAGTAAAACACTCCCAAGCATCATGTATCTGATAGAGATGGTGCTGGAGAGAAAAAAACAGCAGCTATAAGAAAACACATACCCTAGGCTAATCTCTCTCTAATTTATGTTTTCATTTTTTAAGTAAATCCATAACCCCTAACAGCAGTGTCCAGTCAGGCATGAAGTCCATGGGCATGGTAAAAGGGTGTGCCACTGACACAAATCACGTAACCTGCCAAAAGGGGCGAACATGCCCAAAAAGAGGACATGTCTGCCCAAAGAATTAGAAGGCCAGTCTGGCATGAATGCATGTCAGGCTGCCTGCCAATCATGCAGCTGGCCAACTAAGGGCATACTATGCAGACAGCACCCTGAGCTTGGCATAAATGCATCTAATGATGCGTTCACTCAACGCTTTCTAAGTACTGTTCCCTAGCACTCGCTGGTCCACTTGTCTCCTTACCTTCTTATTAGCAGGAGAAGCTCCTGGTATATAGTCTGTGAAGGAGAAAAGCTGTATGTAGTGAGTGTAGAAGAAAGGGAACATGCCACAGTGTTAGAGAGACCAAAGTCAGCATTACCTTAAAGGATCACAAGAGGGTCAGGATTACAAACATGAATTCATGACCCTATAGTATTAACACCACCATCTAGCCCCCCTGGGCCCCTCATGCCTCCATAAATATAGAAAAATCTTACTATATTCTAGCCTGAAGCTGTAACTCTGCATGCTGTTAGACTCATAAAAACAAGCAGTCTGCTGACATCATTAGAAGTGGTGGCCTGATCCAATCACAGTGCTTCCCCATAGGATTGGCTGAGACTGACAAAGAGGCAGATCAGGGTCAGAGCCAGCATGATTCAAACACAGCCCTGGCCAATCAGCATCTCTTTATAGAGATGAATTGAATTAATGAATCTCTATGAGGAAAGTTCAGTGTCTGCATGCAGAGGGTGGAGACACTGATGTTTGGATGCATTTTAGGCAGCCATGACCCAGGAAGGATCTCTAACAGTCATCTTAGGAGTAGTCAGTGAAGTTATCACTAGGCTGTAATGTAAAGACTGCATTTTCTCGGAAAAGACAGTGTTTACAGCAAAAAGCCTGACGGTAATGATTCTACTCACAAGAACAAATTCAATAAGCTGTAGTTGTTCTGGTGACTATAGTGTCCCTTTAACTATATTCATTGTCAGCCAGTCCACACAAGTTTTGTTCCCATACATCCCTCTTAAGTTTCCATACTTAAGTAAGAGTATGTAAAAAGTAGTTAGGGTTGCCACCTTTCTTGGAAAAACATACCGGCCTTACTAATTTGCATAATTAAATATGTATGGGTGACATCACATGATGTAAATCACAAGGAGTGACATAAGAGAAAATTCTGTAAAATCACCAAAAACTACTTAGTTTGATTCTGCTGTATAGATGGATTCCTCCCAGTGCCCCCATGTCTCCCAGTGCCCCCATGTGTCGATTACTCCAAGTCTCAGTGTTCCTATGTATCAGTGTCTCAGCGCCCCATGTCTCCCAGTGTCCCCTAGTGTCGTGTCCCCGGGTCTCCCAGTGATCCTATGTATCACAGTGTCTCAATGCCCGATGTCTCCCTGTGTCCCGATGTATCCCAGGGTCCCCATGTCACTAGGACACTAGAAAGACGGGGAGACTTGGGGACACAGGGAGACCTAGGGACACGGAGACACCAGTGACACTGGGAGACTAGGTGACTCTGGCTGGGACACATGGGGACAATGGGAAAATAGGGGACACTTGAAGACATGGGGACACAGACACCAGGGACACAGACACTAGAGACACTGGCTGGGGGACATGGGGACATTGAGACATGGGGGCACTGGGAGACATGGGGACACTGAGACACCAGGGCCACAGACACTAGGGACACTAGCTTGGAGACATTGTGACACTTGAGGCACTGAGAGACATGGAGGCACTAGGAGACATGGGGACAGTGAGACACTGGCAGACTGGGGGCACTAGGAGACTAGGGGTCACTGAGACACCAGGGACACTGGCTG